CGGGACGTCATAAAGTCCGATATTTCGATTTCGTCGGTAGAGCCCCAAATCACCCAGCCATTTTTGATTGTTCCTAACTTTGTGAATTTTTGATGAAATTGAATTCTGTTTTCAGTTTTGAGTTATATAAGTCTAGAACTTAGTTCATTGGAGTGGATATGACTCAAAGCTCGTGAAAATGCAGCTGAAATGCTTTCGAAACAATTCGAATTTTTTTCAAGCGATTTTTTAAGAAATTAAAACTTTTTCGAAAAAACTGGCAGAAAACCATCTCCCCCTGCTCTGAGATTCAAAGTGGTATTTAAATGATACAAGACGATATGGGAAACATTTTTATCCACTTACCTTTTGTGAAGAATACGTGCAACTCGCTGAAAATTACTTTCAAACCTAGATCATTATTTTCGATTTTCTTGTTTCACTATTGAAGAGCGATCGTTAGTTTCCGGTTCCGCCGTGCGTTACAAACTTTTTGCTTTTGAACATGTTGAACATTTAGACCTTTTTAGGTTGAATATAATGGTAGACATGCAGATTTACTATGTTGTATATGTATGCTGTATATCTGACTACCCATGGACCTCATAATGAGTAAGTACAAACGCTTAATTGAGCCTAGGATCGACGAAACATGTCAGTTAATTGACCTAGATTTTTCAAAATGGATGCCATATTTTCGATTCCAAATCGGTAAAAACTATGTTTTGATCATCATCATCATCATAGTACACGATTCAATCATTTACTGATTACTACATCGCGGGTTAGTATGCATAGTAAAAGATAAAAACAGTGTTAGAGTAAAAGGTAAAGTTAAAATCGGTTTAAAAACAGTTACACAACAGTAAGAGTTAAGGAATGGGGTTTTGGTAGTAAGAACCCAGCGTGGTTTTAAAGCCTTCTAATGTTCCCGCTGTCACTATTGATTCTGGAAGTGAGTTCCATTCCCTGATTGTATTTGGGAAGAAAGACTGCAAAGTGACATCTTTGTTGTATCTGTGGCGGACAAAGGCTTGGCTGTTAGTTACTTGTAATCGTCTGGGTCTATTGTGGGAGGGGGGTTCAAGATATTGGTCCTTGGGAATTCCAACTAGGCTATTGTTGATTTTATAGAGCATGGTGAGCCGTTGTTGTTGTCTTCTCTGCTCCAGAGACTCCCATTGTAGCTTGGACAGCATAGCACCGACAGAGCTAACACGGTTGAAGTCATTCATGACATACCGTGCTGCTCTTCGCTGGGTCATCTCCAGAGCTTGTTTTTGGGTTGATGTGTAAGGGTCCCAGACACAGCCTGCATATTCAAGCCTTGGTCTAATCAGGGTGAAATATGCAGTCTGCTTAGTATGTTGAGGAGCTTTCCATAAATGACGTCTCAGCATGCCAAGGAGCTGGTTACTCTTGGTTATGGATTTAGCAATATGCTGGTTCCACTTAAGGTCTGCCTGCACTGTAACACCAAGATATTCTGCAGACGATACCTGTTTAAGGGCATGTCCCTGCATGTTGTAGATGGAGACAGCAGGTGTTCGTCTTCCAGTTGCCGACAGCACAGTGCACTTGTCTGGGTGGAATTGCATCAGCCATTGATTTTCCCAGGCTACTGCAGCATTAAGGTCTTCTTGTAGTAATGCTGCATCGAGTGGTGAATCAACTTGTCTGTAAATGATGCTGTCATCTGCAAAAAGCCTCAAGGTACTATGTTGCAGGACATCAGGTAAATCGTTAATGTAAATGAGGAAGAGGATCGGACCGAGGACAGTCCCCTGGGGGACTCCTGATGTTACAGCTGCCTCATCCGATGTCACTCCATCTACACTAACTCTTTGGGTTCTTGCATGCAGGAAGTCTTTGATCCAGTAGTTGGCCTGACCTCTGATACCGTAGTATTGGAGTTTGTAAAGCAGGTGGCGATGTGATACTTTGTCAAATGCCTTTGCAAAGTCCATCACTATGACATCAGTCTGGTGATTAGTGTCATTCGCCAGTACAAGGTCATGGAAAAAGGTGACAAGTTGTGTTTCACATGACCTCTTACTCCTGAAACCATGTTGCAAGTCATACAGGATCCCATTGGTCTCAAGAAACTGCATCATGTTGCTAACTAGAAGATGTTCAGCAAGCTTGCAACATATGCAGGTAAGGGACACTGGTCTGTAGTTGGAGGCCTTGTATCGTTCACCCTTCTTGTAGACGGGGCATATTGTGGCTTTCTTCCAGTCAGCTGGTATTTTGCCTTGATCTAGTGACCGCTGGAAGATTAGTGTGAGCGGCATGGCGATGTCGGATGCCAGCTCCTTCAAGACTCGAGATGGTATTGAGTCTGGGCCACTAGCCTTGTTGGGGTTCAGGCCTTCGAGCATCTTCCGGGCTCCTTCTTGGGTGATGTTGATGTCCGGCATGGTTGGGTGAGGGCTATGTCCTTTGTCTGGCAAGGGGGTGTTAGGGTCCTTGGAGAAAACAGACTGAAACTGCTCATTGAGTATATTGGCCTTGCCGATGTTATCGCAGGTCAATACTCCATCCTTTTTTAAAGGAGCCACAGAGTCAGCTGTTTTCCTCAGACTTTTGATGTACGAGAATAGCCTCTTAGGTTTAGTCATTCGAGCACCTGGAGATGTTGATTCAGGTGATGGCTCAGAGATGACATTCTCGATGTAGGTCCAGTAGGCTGCTCTTGTTTGCTTCTGGACAGCGGCTTTAAGGGACTTATAGTGACTTAAGTTTGACGTGGACTTAAACCGCTTGTGAAAGTATCTGTCACGTCTCTTCATGAGTCTTCTGATGTTGTCGGAGACCCAAGGCAACTTGTTCTTACTGTTAAGCCATTTGTGGGGGATGTGTGTGTTGATGGCATTACACAAGCTATCTCTGAACAGAACCCAAAGGTCTTCTACAGGTGTTGTTCTAGGGAAAGCGTTCATTGTTCGGTAGGTTGAGTTGACATCAGCCACGATCTTTTCCCAGTTGGCTTTATTGTAGCGAAGTGTTTTCCTAGGAGCAGCTTTAGATCTTGTAGCTTTTAGGTTGACATCAACAAAGACCACATTGTGGTCACTTTCGCCAATGGGAGGAGCGATCTCAACTCTGTTGACTAATCCGGGGAAGCTGGTTAGAAAGAGGTCAAGTGTGTTATTCCCTCTTGTTGGTTTGTCAATCATTTGGGCAAGATTAGCATCATCAAGGGTGTCGAGAAGCTGCTGATGGAGTTGTCGATCCGGCACTCTAGGTGGGATATGTGCTTCCTCATTGCCCCATGAGATGTGCGGGAGATTGAAGTCACCGCTGACCCAAATGTGTGGTTGTGTGTGTTGTTTGGATAGGAGGTCCAGGGATTTCTGAAGTTCAGTCAGGCTGTGACCTTTATCATCTGGTGGCCTGTAGTAGGATGACAAATACAAGCGCTTAGAACCAACTAAGTTGATTGAAGCCCAGGCAGCTTCACAATCAGTCTCCAGGTCTTTCGCCTCGCTGCTGATGAACTCTTTCGAGATGGCAAGGAGGGAGCCACCATAGAAATGACCATTGGCTGCTGGAGTTTGCCTGTCACGTCTATAGACTGAGAATGCGCTGAGGTCAAAGATGGTGCCTGATGGGATAGATGAATCAAGCCATGTTTCTGTTCCAAAGATGACATCTGGTTTAGTTGACTGGATGACTGCATCAAGTTCAGCTCGTTTGTTCTTGATCGATCTGAAGTTCACATTCAAACAACGAATAGGACGGCAGAGGGTCTTCTTTACTGCTGTACGTCTATGGTGTTTAGGTGAAGAGGTGGCTATGGGGCTACCAGGTATGCTGTCATCTGACAAAATTGAAAACTGGTTGGTAGATGTATCAAATATTGTCAGGTCGAACAAACCGGATGAGAAATTGGGTAAACCACATGTCGTGCAGATCCATGTGGTGTTGCTACTGTTGAGGTACTCATAGCATAGAGTGTCTATTCCTTGGCAATCTGC